CCATACACTCACTGGAGCATGGTCAGACTCTCAGTAGACAGCCCCTCAAAGAAAACTGAGTCCTTCCCCACCCCACCCCCACCAGAAACCCTCCATTGTGGAGAGCTACACTTCAGCATTCTTGTTACATTTTTTTCCCAAGACAGAGTTTCTGTTGTGTAAGTAACCCTGGCTGTCCTGGAACTTGCTTTGTAGACCCTGCTGGCCTCGAACTCTCAGAGATCTGCTTGCCTCTACCTCCCGAGTGTGGACTAAAGGTGTGCGCCCCCACACTCGGCTACATTTTTCTTTATTGTGCAATGAGATGTTTAATCTCTTGATTCCCCACAACCACCACCATTCTCGTTCTTATATTTCTTTGTCCTTTCTTCATTTTGCTTCTTCATACTTTTTCCTCTATCCTCTTTCTCCACCCCTTTCCTTTGTTTCATCCATTCATTCATTTATTGCTTTTATCACAGTTAATTGTTTTGTCCCACAGTTGACAGCATCCATTTGTATTTCTGTAGCCATTGGTGTTATAGTAGTTGGCCTTAGTCAGTTTTAAGTCTATTTCTACATCTAATTTGGTAGTGTTGCTGTTACAGTGGGTTCTTTTCTGTACTCTGACTAGTTGATTGGAGACTGAGACTTCAAGAGAATGCTGCTGACTAGATCAAACCAGAAGATGCAGCCACTCCAAGAGGTTGAAAAAAGTTGTAGCAAAGAAAAAAGAAACGGGAAAAAGTGGCAGCACGGCTGCTGAAAGCGTGGCAGCTCTCCAACGAGCAACTCCACGTAAGTGGTTGAAGCGCCAGAGAACCAATCAAAACCCAACTGTAAGAGAGATTAAGGGCAGGGCAGTGGTGGTGCACCCCTTTAAACCCAGCACTTGGGAGGCAGAGGCAGTTGGATCTCTGTGAGTTTGAGGACAGCCTGGTCAACCAAGCGAGTTCCAGGACAGCCAGTGTTACACAGAGAAACCCTGTCTCAAAAAAGAAAGAAGGAAAGAAAGGAAGGAAGGAAGGAAGGAAGGAAGGAAGCAAGCAAGCAAGCAAGCAAGGAAGGAAGAAAGAAAGATTAATGACATCAATGATGACATAAACAAGCAGATAGAATGAGGAAGTGAATTCAAGGTCTAGATAAGGAAGTCACCAATATCTCTGAGTTTCAGCCTTGTATCTGAGAACTTCAGCAAGGAAGATGAAATTTGGGGGGGAAATGTATATTGGGAATGAAAAACTTAGTAAATCCAACTACAGTGCTGAGCATTCTTAAGAAACCAGATCCAACAGAGGGAAGAATAGCAAGCATGAGAGGTAAGGCCAAGAAAACAGAACCTCTGTCTAGAAATTAAAAAAAAAACATCCACAAACGTCAAGAACCCTGGCATGTGATCAAGAGATCAAACCTAGCAATTTATGGGTAGAAGGAGCTGAGATCAAATTAAAGGCATGCAGGAGGTGGTGGCACATAGCAGGGCAGTGGTGATGCACCCCTTTAAACCCTGCACTTGGGAGGCAGAGGCAGGCAGATCTCTAAGTTCGAGGCCAGCCTGATCTACAGAATGTGTTCCAGGACAGCTAGGACTACCCTGGGCTACACACACCCTGTTTCAGATAAAAATAAAAAACACAAAGCAACAAAAAAAATTAAAGGCATAAAAATCTATCTAATGAAAATATAACAGAAATACTCCAAATCTAGGAAAAGTAGTAGTTATCCCAGTACAGGAGGCATGTAAAATCCCAAGGAGACACAATCAGAAGAGAACTTCTCTAGACTTAAGATAGTCACTGCAGAAACAGTATTGAAGCTGAGGGAAAAACTGCCACCTCAGTTCCTAAAGGAAAACCATCAGAACAATAGAAAGCTTCTCAACAGAAGCCCTAAAAGCCAGCAAATCCTGGCATGATGCATTTCAAGCTCTAATGAAAAAAAAAATCAACTGTCAACCACAAGCACTGTCTCCAGAAAGGTTCCGTTAGTACCAGCTGGAACAGTAAGAAAGACAAACACATGTCCAGGACACATCACTACTAAACCAGTATTATGAAAAAAAAAACAGCTAAAGGAATATCACACACACACAGGAAGGAAAAGGGCGGCCTTCATCACAAGAGCACAAGAGAAAACACAGTTCATAAAAGAAAGAAAGGTTCTTAGAAAAGTAAGAATGAGCCAAACCCCAAAACAACTAGATGGAAAGAAAGAATACAAATAATAATAAAATTCTGGTAGATGATAATGAAGTGGAGATAAAGAACAAGTCAGAGAATGAACAAAAGAAACAGCTGGATTTGTTTTTCAAAACAAGATCAACAAAACCTAGTCAAACTAATAAAAATATAATAATTCAATAAAACCAGAGATGGAAAAAGAGGCGTTAAATGGATGACAATGAAATCCAGATGATTATTAGAAAGATCTTTGAAATCCTGGAAAATCTAGAAGCAATGGGCAAATTCCTAAGACACATATAAACTAGCAAAATTAAATCAAGATGATATGGCCAATTTATACAGATCTATAAATGAACAATGCGACTGAAGTGTTATATAGTGAACAACTGATGTGGTAATCTCCCAGTTAATAAAAGAGGTGCTTTAGAGAAGACCTAAGACCAATGCTCCTCAAACTGTACCATAAAACAGAAAAGGAAGGAACCATGTCAAACCGTGTCAAATTATTATCCTCATGTCCAAACCAGATTAACACACAACAAAAACAGAATATTATAGAAAAATTTCCCCAGTAAACATGTTTGTGAAACTTCTCGAAATATTTGCAGACTGAGTTAACAAATCAAAAAGGTCCTATGATGATCAAGTTGGTTTCAACCCAGGAGTGCAAAGATGGTTAAACATACACCAATCAATAAAAGCAACACAGCACATAAATAAACTCAGAGATCCTAGCACATTAAGAATAAATATTTCAGGAATACATTAAAAAATAAAGTCAGGGCAGAAATCACATGATCACCTCAATATATTCAGAGAAGACCTTTGACAAAGTCTACCATCCATTCATGATGAATCCCTCAAGAAATTATAAATACAAAGAATATGCTTCAATATAATAAAGTCTACATATGACAAAACTACAGTCAGAATTACACTACAGGGGGGAAAGATTGAATGCATTTCTTTTTAAATCAGGAATGATAGAAGTGTGACCACCTTCTCCATTCTGTTCAATGTGCTGCTTGAAGTCTTATCGAGAGCACCAAGGCAAGAGGAACAACAAAAAAAAGAAAGATAAACTGGAAAGAAGTTAAATCATCCCTACTTGAAAAACCACGCTGAGTGTAGAGGTGCAGGCCTGTAATCTCAGTACTGGGGAGCTGAGGCAGGAGAGCTGCTGTGAGTTTGAGGTCAATCTTGACTACATTGTAAGTTACAGGCCAGCGAGGGCTACATAGTAAGCCCTTGTCTGAACAAACCAAGTAAACAAACAAACAAAAACCACAAACCCCAAATCAACCCACCTGATTTTTCCACTAAGGTGCAAAGGCACATAGCCACTTCATGGAAGTGGGGAAATTGGATAGTCACATGTATGAGAAGGAAATTGGATTCCCATGACTCCTAAACAATTATCACTTCAGTACAGGTCCAAGACTTTAAGATCTCCAGCATCAAAACTACTTGAGCAAACAGAGATAACACAAGATACAGACACAGCCAAGGCATTTGAGAGGGACTCTAGTACCCTAAGGGGAACAACAGCAGCTGGTCAAATGGGATTACACAATGCTGAAAAGCTTCACACAGCACAAGAAGAAATCAACAGCGTCACTAGGCAGTGTACATGATTAGAGGCAATCTTTGCCCACTATGTATTCAACAGGGGATTAAAATAAATACCTAAGAAACTCAAAAGATAAATGGCCAAAATCCAAATCATCAAATCAATAAAGGGGAAGATGAATTAAACAATCTTTTTTTTCAAAGAGTGTAAGTGTCCAATAAGTATTTAAAAACAAATCAACATTTTGGTCATCAGCAAACCACGAATCAAAATTACATGAGACTGTATCCCACCCTAGTCAGAACCATTAGGAAATAAATGATATGTTGGGCATCGTGGTGCACACCTGAAGGCAAAGGCAGAGATAGGCAAAACTCTGTAAGTTTGAGGTCAGCCTAGTCTACACAGAAAATTCCAGGTCAGTCGGTGCTACATAGTAAGAAACACACACACACACACACACACACACACACACACACACACACACACACAAATGGATACATACATGCATGTAAAATGTGAGGGGGACGGGAGGGGGGAGAACAAGGGAATCCGTGGCTGATATGTAGAACTGAATTGTATTGCAAAATAAATTAATAAAAAAAAATAAAAAAAAAATGACAAATGCTGATGCAGATGGGGAGATGTAGAAAAAAACCTCATGTATTGTTGGTGGTAAGGTTAAATTAGTGCAGCCACTACAGAAATCAATATGGAGATTTCACAAGAAGCTAAGAAATAGGTCTTCCATGTAATGCAAATATATCACCCCAGGGTGTAAACCTAAGGGAGTCTAAGTCAGCATACTATAGACAAAACAGCTCATGCATGTTAACTGCAGCAGTATGTACAAGAGCTATGATTCTTATCAACAAACAAATGCATAGAGAAAAAAGTCACATACACACACATGACATACCTATATGGCTTGAAAATAGGAGGGAATAGGGGGATTAATTTGGGGATTTGGAGTGGGGAACAAGACATGGTATGTACATCAAAGAAAAGCAAAGTTTAGAATATGTGTGTATGAAATGTAACAAAATTCACTATCTTATACATTAAAAGAATAAAAGAAAGGATTAAAAAAAGACTCATCCCTAGCCTCAGATGTGGCAAAATTCTCCTTGGTCCTTCTCATTCAAGGCACCAGGGATGATGTGATATCTCCTACCTTCTGATCCTTGATTTTTTCACCTTTCTTCCCTGCTGTGGATTAGAGTGGGGTCTTGTGCATGCCAGACAATCATTCTCCCATCATGCTGCAGTCATAAGCCCTTTATATAACTGACCACAGCATTTACGACATCCAAGGAACAGGGGAAAGAGAAAAACTTATTATCAAAAAGAACAGCGCAGCCATGGAAGCCATCTACATGGTACCAGGTCACAGGGACCCCTTGGTCTTCTAAGCGCTTCTTGTAAAGCAAAGCATCATCACGGATAAAGTCCCACTGAAGGGTCACTATGAATGCCTCAGGAACCTGAGCAATGATTTTGTCGTCTGCTATGAGGGGAGAAATATCTGTATTCATAGTATGCTTGGTTTCTAGGTAGGCAGCCTCATTAAAAGGTGCCGGTGACTTGGGTCGCTGGTATTTGCTTCTGAACATTTTAGGGATGTTGTCAGGGCTTAGCCATTTCTCATACTTCTGCCAAACACTTGGGGGCATACAGGCCCCTGCCAACATGGCATCTTTCCAGGAGGGGTCAATGGCCAGATATCTACAAATACAGTTCATCATGAAATCTTTGGTGAGGAATGGAATATTTGCATTCTGCAGCTTTGATGGGGACTGGAAATACAATGCCTGGAGGACTGGATAAATCAGGATCTGAGCCCGGATCTTGGGAAGATCTGCTCTGCCCACCAAGGTCTGGGTGATAATAACTGCAGCCCCACCTCCAATGCTCTCTCCACAGAGCACAACCTGGGAGGGATCCACCCCATAGTCTTTCGTAGACTTCAGGAAGTGAATGGAGGCATTCAGGCAATCCAATAGAGAGAAAGGATGATGGCGGTGAGGAAGCTTTCGGTACCTACAGAAGGAAGACAGAGGACAACATATCAGTATTGTGTAACATGAATCTTAAAAGGTCCAACAAATAGAAAAAAAAAAACTGGAGCCAGATATTGGGGTAAATTCTGAAAGATCAGAGAGGCAGAACAAGCCACACAGCCAACCTCACCTTGCCAACTCCTCAACTGATCTTTTTTCCTCAGACTGAAAGTCTCTGAATCCTCACTGGAGTGGGTCTTAGCTGAACTGCTCCAAAGTCTCTGGTTCCTGGTCCTCACGCCTTATGTACCTTTCTGCTTCCTGCCATCACTTCCTGGGATTGAAGGTATGTGTCCTTCCCAAGCAAAGACGTGAGATCTCAAATGCTGGGATTAAAGGTGTGTGTCACCATGCCTGGCTCTGTTTCCAGTGTGGCCTTGAACTCACAGAGATCCAGAGGGATCTCTGCCTCCCAAGTGATAGGATTAAGGGTGTGTGCCACCACTGTCTGGCCTCTACGTCTAATCTAGTGTCTGGCTCTGTCCTCTGATCCCCAGATAAATTTTATTTGTTAGAGCACAAATAAAATATTACCACAGCACTGCAGGAATTTCTGTGAATTGCATCCTCTACTCACCCAAGAGTCTACTTGATTAAATCTTCCACATGACCCTAGCAATTGAAGACACTCGTTCCGATTTTCCCCCGTGTGAGTTTGAAGAAGCTGCCAAAATTCAGTTACTGAATTTTATCCTGTTAAGATTCCCTTATCTTGGCATACCCTTGTGGTTCTAAATGGTTATGTAATATTGCCTAATATCACATGGTTCAGAAGATCACTTAAAAGACTTCTTTGTTCAAATCTTAGTGCCCAAGTGGTTGATTCAGTTGTCATTGAGAGATTATCATACCATGAAGTTTCAAACATTATTAATTGTTCAGTTACTGGTGGATTCATAGTTTAATTCATTTTCCAGTAGTTATCAGACGTGGTACTGCTTTGGAAGTAAGCAACTTTTACCCTCTGGGATATCTTGCCAGCACACTTAGCCAGTGAGAACTATAGGTGAAAAATAGAAAAGAAAGAAAACATATAGTTTGGCAGAAAAGCTGTAGACTCGGAGGACATTGTAAAAAGGGTTTAGCACATTGAAAAACAAATCAATGGGCTATGGAGACAGCTTAGTGGGTAAGAGTGAATGCTGCTCAATCATAATGACCAGAGTTCGGATCCCAGCACCAACAGTGGGTGTCCTGCAAATGCCTATAGCCCCAAGGGATCTGATGGCCTCCCCTGGCCTCTTTGCACAACCACAACCACATGTGCACAGATATACACACACACTAAAATCTTAAATAAATTTAAAAAAATCAATCAAATGCTTTTTACTAGAGTCCTCCAGGGCTTCTTAGATATTAGATCTACCTCACCCATGACAGACTCCAGGATAAAATTGTAAACTCATTTGAAATACTTTTGCTTGAAAATATAGTACTGCCAGGGTACCCAGTTTGTACTAGTCCACCTAGAAAATTGTCTTCCTGGGACTCATTTCCTATTGTTAGTTGCCCAGACACTCAAAGTCCAACGTGGCCATGTTCTAAGGGAGCCCAGGTAGTGTTGCAGCTGATGGCAACCAAGGCATCATCCACACAATACTGGGCATGCAAGCATATGAAATGTAGTCACTGGGTTGTGGAGGCTTCCACCCAGGTTCAAAGCTAAGCCTGGGAGGCCAAGAAAAGCATGAGATAGTTGGTGTCCCTGCACCATGCCAATGAGAAGGAATATGTAAACCTGCGAGGTGATGACTAAGCTCCAGTGGACACCTGAGGAAGTAGGAGATGCCATGTCTTTGAGCAATATGCGGAAGAACACCATAGACAAAGAGCAGATGGAGGCTAAGAGGGAGGCCAAGTAGACTTCAGCCAGCAGGACTGTAGAACTATGACTGCCCAAATCATTTGGAAATGAAACTGGAATTATAAGACTTAATGTTTGCCCTGCTGTGTTTTCGTCTTTCTTGGTCCCAGCTTTTCCCTCTATGACACTAATTATTCCTTTTGTGAATGAGGATGTTTGCTCTATGCTGTTGTATGTTGGAAGAATGCAATTTGCTGTTTTAATTTGTGACAATTCACAGCTGAGAATTGGGCCAAGGTTCAGAAGACTATAGACTTGAACCATTTAACAGGGCTGAAACTATTAAACTTTGGGGACTCTTGCACTAGATAAATTTTATATGATGGGTTGACCATGACCCTTGGATGTGCAGGGGTGGGATACTATTATGTAGATATATAAAGTACCCCTCAAAAAGTTTATGCTGGCAACTTATTCCCTGGATATGGATCAAATCATTGAGATGTAACTAGACTGTGGAACACTGACATCATTGATAGAGTAATTCATTTAAGGGTTTATAATTTGATGACATTATTGGAATGTGGGCCTAATTGTAATATATAGATCTCTGGGGGTGGGCTGTCTTTGAATGTACCTTGTCTCTGGCCCTTTCTGTCTTTGCTTCCTGGCTACCACAAGGTGAGCATATTTGATGTATTATGCTCTCTTGCTTTGAGAATATTCTGTCTTACAGAATAGCAGTGAAGCAAGTTGGTCATAGACTGAATGAAGTTATTTCTTTGGTATTTGCAATAGCATGAAAAAAGTGAGTAAGAGTAGTTAATTGTCACCATGGCTACCTCACTCAATCCTCAATGATGAGTGGCTTTCCAGACCTTTTCTCATTTGTATGATGCTATGGTCACATGTGAGAGCTTCTCTAGGGGCAAAGACATCTAGGACTGCCACTCCTTGTATTTTCCCCTGCTCTGTGGGTAAGCCACCCACCATCTGAGACTACTCACCCCACCGACAGCAGCACTGAATCTGTCTCTCGAGCCAGGAACGTACACAGGTTATGGTAACAGTCTGCAAGAGAACACCAGGTATAGTGCACTGTATGAAGAGTGCCCAGAACACCCCACCACAGTCCCAGGGAGCAGCTGATATGAAGATCACAGAAATGATACTTCTGTTCCTAGACGTGCCCCCTCTGAAGTGACTCAGGCCACCAGGACAAGGCAAAGCCAGACATCTGACTTAATTTCTTAAATGTTGGGGGCATAAGTGGACTTAGAGGCTCATGGTTTAATTTTACAGTGGGGAAACTGAAGACCAGGAAATTTTGAGGTTCTAAATGAACAAAAACAAGGATAAAGCACTTTTGGAGGATTAGCCTGGAAATAATAAGAATTTCATATATTGAGCTGAGTATGGCAGCACATGCTTGTGATCCCAGCTCTTGGAATATAGAGTCAAGATGATCAGGAGTTCAAGTCATTCTCAACTACATAGCAAATTAGATGCCAGCCTGGGCTACAAGAGACCCTGCCTCAAAAGAGATTCATGTATATATTTGATTAGGAAACAAATGATGGGTAGATGGGCAATTTGGATTAGTATGGTGCTACATTTGAAGTTCTAGGAGGTAGGTCCCCTGGCATTAGTATGTATCTTTACACAGGTCCCCAAACAGAATTCCCTTTGATTTAGCCCATTCCCTTGGTATACATGACCCTTATCAGTCTGTGTTCATCTTCTGTCCAGGCTGCCACAACTCATTGGATAACAATCTCTGAGCTGTGCCAAGTAGGCATCATGAATCTCTAAATGACACCAGACAATTCTAATATTTATGGGTGCTTACTAGGTGAGTACACACCAGCTACACTGTTGGGCAGAGGATCAAAGTAGACTTGGAGGCTAACACTCCTGAGGGGAGAGGGTCTGATTTGAGCTATCTAGTCAGCTTCTCTGTCAGTGACTCTACTCCACAAGGTCTGAAGACTGCACATCAGCTTTATCTGAGGACTTTTAAAGTAGGGACGGCTGGATCCACCTAGGAGAGGAGCTGTGTCAGGCTAGGGAGAGGGTCTGTGATGTGAGTGCCCTTAAAGGCCTCAAGAGGAGTTTACACAGACAATATGGAGACTCTACTAACTCTGTCCCAGGACCTGCCTAGACATCTTTCTCTTCAAGTCCTTCAAGTAATTCCTGTTTCAGAGCTTTGCATATGTTGCTTGCTTTTTTTAGACTTATTAGGACAAGAGTGAGACAGACGAGACATCACAGTGGGTGATGCTAAATCGTGGGGCCAGGTAAACATTTGATGCGGCATTTTACAAAGTCAAATTTTAGTGCCAAAATATGTCATGATGAGCAAACTTTCAGAATTTTGTTTTGTTGCACCAGGTATCTCTGGTGAGGTCAGTGGAAATAGCTTACATCTTCTCCTCCTCCACTTGCCCACGCTTCATTTACAACTCATAGAGAAAAATGTAGGGAAACTCTTTAAAATATCCACACAGACAAGGACATTTGGAGCAAGGTCCAGGTGCTCAGGAAATAATGTCAAAAATTGACAAATGGGATTTCATAAAATTAAAATTTAAAAAGTTTCTGCACAGTGAACGAGACGAATGTAGAGGCAGCCTACAGAATAGGAGATCTTTCCTAACTGCGCATCTACTGGAGAATTACTATTTAAAATATACAAAGAAATTTTTAAAAACTGAATGAGAAATCAGCCAATCCAGCCAATCCATGGGCTAATGAGACAGACAGTTCAGAAGGTGAAATACAAATGGCCAATAAACATGAAGAAGTGTCCAACTTCACCAGACGTCGGAGAAAAGCAAATTCAGACTTCACTTGAAATACCTCCTCACCTCAGTCAGAATGTCCATCATTAAGACAATAAACATAGAACTAGGTGTGGTGGTGCATGCCTTGAAACCCAGCACTCAGCCAAGGCAGAGGCAGGAGGATCTCTGTGACTTCAAAGCCAGCCTGAGCCACATAGTGAGATCCAGGATAGCCAGGGCTACACAGTAAGATTCTGTCTCAAAAAAGAGAGGAAGAAAGGAGGGCAGCAAGGAAGGAAGAAAGGGGGAAATGACAACAAATACTAGAGAGGGTGCATGCAGACAAGGGACCCTCGAACATTGTTGGTGGGAATGTAAACTAATCTGCCTAGTATGGAGATTATTCAAAACATTAAAAGTAGATCTGTTATACGGTCCACTTGCACCACTCCTGGGTGTTTAGCCGAGATGCTTGCACACCACTGTTTACTGCAGCATTATGTATGATCCCTAAACTAGGAAGCCAATCTGGGTGTCCGACAGCTGAGGAATGAATAAGGAAAATGAGCCACATATACACAGTGGGATTTGAAGTTACGCTGATTTCAGGAAAATGAGTACAACTGGAGATAATTATATTAAGTGAATTAAGTCAGTCTCAGAAAGGCAGATGTCACCCATTGTCTTTCATTTGTGAGTACAAGGTTTTATATAGATTTATAATATATATCTATAAAATTGAAAATTAAGTTAAATTTAATTAAAGTAGCCTAGGGAGCAAATGAGACTAATGAGAGGGACCAGAGGGCAGAAGATAGTGGTATATGGAGGGGGTATGTTCAAAGGATATTATATAGTTGTATAAAAATGGCCTTATGCAATCCAGTATAATTAAATAAAAACTAAAAATATTTAGAATAAGCTCCTACTTTGTGTTTGTCCAAGGCACTCGGCTATGTTAGTTTCTGTTTTCATCTGAACTCTTGGCTCTTTGTAGAATTTTCCCCCTAGTCTTTTCAAATGAGTTTGTTGTTTTAATTATGTGGATTGTGTGGAGGGGGTATCTGAACATGGGGAGTGCAGTGGTCAGAAGAAGGAGTCAGGTCTCGTGGAGCTGGAGTTGCAGGTACTTGTGAGCAGCCTGATGTACTCACTGGGAGCTGAACCAGACTCCACTGTAAGAGCAGTGAGTACTCCAAACCTCTGAATCATCTTTCTCTTAATATTGTTTTGAAATGTAATATTGTTGGTCCTAGTGACTGACTTTCTGGAGTCCTTTGTTTTGCAGTCTAGGGCCCAGGCCTTCCTCACCTCACTCAGATCTCCAGTTATGTAGCACTGGCTCCTTCCATCCCTTGGTCCTGGCCTCAAGTCTCACTTTATTGGAGAAACTGTTTGATTAGAAATAATGAGGTGCTGTGACTCAGTCAGTTCCTGTTCTGGGCCTACGTTGTCCAATCTGAAACCACCACCATCCCATTTGTGTTCTGCAAGGTCCAGCCCCCTACTTTGGCAAGCCAATGAGGGGAGGGACTAAGTCTTGTTCTCTAGACTCCGAAAATCCACTGATAGCTACAACACAGGTTTCCCTTACACTCTTGATGTTTCCACTCTGGGTGGGAGAAGACAGAAAGCAAGCAAGGAAACATTTTGGGGACCAACATCAACATGGACAATGTAAGCTTTGTGACAAGATATCAGGAATGGATCCATTGGTCCAGGGTCTGACTTCAGAGTGTCAGAGAGAATCTCTAGATAAAATGTTCCCTTTCCTCTTCCCAACACCCGCCCCCATCTACCCCTTCTTGCTCTTTAAAATATGTGGCCTCTTTTTTCATGAATTGTTGTTATATACATGTATGTACATGCATATATATTCCTAAATATTGATACAGCATGCTCAGTCTGTATAATGCTACTTGTACGTATGTTTTCAGGGCTGTCCATTTGGTATTGGATGACGAGAGACATGTTAACCTAGATTGAGGAAAGCCCACAAGGCCTCAACCTTACACAAAACACTATAGGCAGTTAAAGAATGTTGAGATCAAGAGAAATAGTCTTCTCCAAGGAAGAGAACATCAGTTGGTTGTCCAATGCCAAATGGTCAGCCCTGAATTGTATTTTTAAAGATCTGTTTGGTGTGGAAAGATGACCAGCCAGACTGCTGACAATGGAGCAGTGGGCTGGAGGGGGTGAGCAAGTGAAGATGGGTTTGGACCAAGATGATCCAGAAAATCTGAGAAAAGTAATGGATTTGGGACCATTGTGGGACAAAGGGGATGGGAGGTTGGCATCATACCTAATTCCCTGGAAGTCCCACTAGGCAATCACTGCCCCTGCCTCGACAGAGATATCAAATTGTAGAAAACATTGTCATGGAGGCAACAGTCCCTTTGACTGACATGACCTTCAGTCTTAATCTGCCTCCCACAAAAGGAGCTCCAATGGCTGCTTCCTTTGACTCCCTCCAAAGAGATACTCATGGAAAAGTGAACGGGGTTGTGGAGGTTGTGAGGCCCCTCTCTTTCTGTACGACAGGGATGTTTCTCACCTAGGCTGCCCAACACTGCACCCCCTCCATGGAAGAAGACGATGCCTCTCCGGGGCTTGGAGGAGGCTGTTTTGGGCTGAAAGAGCCTCACAGGGATTGTGCCGAAACGCAGGTCCTTCACAAACACACCAAGGCTCTTCTTTGACACAAAGATGTCTTGTACAAAGCGGAAAAAGTAGGGCATGGAGCAAATGTTCATCTTCTCAAGTATAGTCCCCTGTGGGAAAGAGAGAGCAGTTGGGGGCTTTCCTGACTCCTCTGTCCTTTCCACCCTTCAGACACTGCCCATGCTGCTGTCTCTCTCAACTGTGGACTTTCCATAAAACTCCCATTTGAATGTGGTAAAACCGGTTTCTCCCAAGATTCATGAATATCCAAAGCTGTTCATGAAGATTTAGGGCATGGGAGATGTAAGCAGTAAGGAAAGAAGAGCCACGCCTGCTTGCAGACAGAATTTCCTGGTTGCCTTTCTAGAAAAGACCTGTGGCCCAATAGCTTGGTTCTATTCCAGTCTCAGCTCATTTCTACCATGCTGCCTCTGATTTCCATGCAACAGTGGAGCCTTTGATAATAGCTTTGCCCATTCCTTCAAAGAGTATGAGGAAAGCCACTCTTTCTGGTCCTAGTTCCATATGACTCTGCTAGTCTCTTCTTCAGAGTCCACAGCAAAGCCTAGGCTTGGTCCAGAGCTTGTCACAGTGCCCTCTTCACAATCTTTGCAGCTATAAAGCCTGTGTCCCGCCCTTACTGCTTCCCCAAACTTTGTACTTCAGGGAAATTGGTTATACCCTTCCTTATAGTTCCCTCACTCTTGAAGTAGAGAGCAATTATCATCTGTTTCAGGTTTGTCTGATTGGAATAAAGGGAGCAAGTTTTAGAAATCATCACAGAATAAACCTGGCAAAGGTTGGCTGCCTTTCCCTTCATTTCTTGACCATTAACCATGTCCTTGGCAGTGACATCATGATATTCTTTAAATGTGACAAACACAGTTGTTGGGGATGGGGCTACCAATAAGCCTGAGGTCATGACCACTGTAATTCCCAAGGGGACAAAAAGTGAGCCTGGAACCTAAGAGCTATGTATGTCTTTCCATAATGAATAGATCAGCTTTGTGACCACTGTAGGGCTGAGGCTGTCACTGAATTAATGAGTTAGCTGTCACTTCTTAACACATTCATGGTCACTGAAGCAAGGCACAGCAGTAGACTTCTTTTGCCATACTTGATCCATACTGTACTGTCCCATGCACTCTTCCCTCTGTAGGAGCAGCACTGATGACTTTAGAAGAGAGTTGGGCCTTTGGATGGTCCCTACACAAAGCCTCCACAATCTCTACTGGAAAGATGGCATTTGTCGTCTTTCCTTGGATGTACTGAGGGCAGCAGAGTTCATGAGCCTGGTCCTCTGGGAAGTTATCTCAACATATTCTTATACAAGGAACAGAATGACCTAGATTTACATCCATCTGCACTGATGGAAACCTGCATGAACTCAACAAACACTTCCAGAGTTCTGCTTAATAAACGATTGGGGTTTATTTGCCACACCCAAATCTTAAACTCCTTTGCCTTTTTAAATTCAACTTTCTTTGTTTAAATATCTTTTTAAGTTAGAAAAAAATTTATGTGAATGAGTGTTTTGCCTATATGCATGTATGTGTACCGTGTGCATGCTTGGTTTCCATGGAGGCCAGAAGATACCCTGGAATTGGAATTAAAGATGATTGTGAGCCACTATGTGAGTGCTAGAAACTGAATCCAGGTCCTCTGCAAGAGCAGCATCTGCTTCTAACCACCGAGTCACCTCTCCAGTTTGGTGCAAAGGTCTTCTAAGCCCTCAGGCTAACCACTTCTTAATAGTTTACACGGTAGAAAGCCCCCACTCCTTGTCTCAGGTCACATAAAGATATTAATATATCAAGTTATTTTTAAGTTAAATTTTCTTTTGTCTATTTAGTTTCCTGTAACACAGGACTGAACTTAAGACAGGATAAGACTTTTCTTCTGCCCTCCCCAACTGTATAACAAACTAAGTTTAACTAGCAAGCAACCCTTGCTTGGGAGATATTAGAAACCCAGGCTCTAGCTCCTGATGGCTGTCCCTAACCATTCCAAACTGATCAACAACCATAGACTCTAACACACCTCATGGGCTCACAAATCCCTAACTGAAAGCTCTTGTTTTACTGATGAGGAATCAGAAGTATTTTAGCCAGCCAGGTAAGGACTTACTGACCCATGCTGCTTGACCCAGACAGTCACCAAAGACTCTACCTTCCCAATCTAATATCTGGCATTTGTAAGGGTCTCAGACTGTTTCTCACTAGAAATCAACTCCCCAGTTTCTTCCCTGCTGCTTATTCTTGTTGGAAGTAAAGGAAAGAGGGTGCATACAGATCACTTAATAGCCATGTTGTCCTTAGCAAGTCTTCAATACCACGCCTGGCATATCATTACTGACTAACACACACTGGCTGTTAAACTATGTGGATCTTGGCGAAATTCTTTCCCCAGGCTGAAGTTCTGTCTACCCTGGCAGGAAATGATTATTAAGAAACAAAATTTACCCATGTTATTGTCAGATGGAAGAGATAGTGCAGAATCCGAAACTTCAGGGGGTGCGTGATGGTGGGAGGCACGTCAATAGTAAGGAGATGGTCGACGAGAACCCACACGTTGACTCCCAGGACCAGAAGACACACAGTAGCGAGGAGAAGTTCCACCCAGGGAAGCATGGTGCTCTTGTTCCTTCAGGGTGAGCCAAGGAAAACCTGTGCCCTAGGAGGACTTCATGGAACTTCTCACCCACAAACTCAGGCACCTTATAACCGTCAGAGAAGCACCATGGCCTAATCTCACCCCTTTTCAAACCCCTCTGGATATTGGAAGCATCCCCATATGAACTGATTGCAACAGATCCCAGCCCAGAGAGGTTCCTGCCCAGCAGCAGTGGAGCCCTTGTACCTTGTCCCCAGGTCACAGATATCCTTCATCACACCACCCAGGGAGTCACCAACCTGTCCCTTAGGAAAGGGACACTATTGGAGAAGGGGTTGTCTGGAAAGTGATGCCAAGTGGCAATCAAGGAATCAAGGACAATTGAGAAAACTCACTGAAGTCATGTACTCTGTGACTCTCCTCTCAGGTGTGAAATCAGAGATTAGAGAGGTGGTATATGTGCCAAGGTGAACCACAATGAGGAAGGGCAGAATGAGGTGTCGAGAATAACCTATCATATCCCACCCTCACCTCTCCTCTGTACTCACTAGCCTTATTTACTTAATATCAGAAATGTGTTTCACAATTGCTCCTTGTATTAGCCCTGACCTTATGTCCTGCAGTCACATATTGTGAGGTCTAAGGTCATGCAGATATAAACATATCACCCTAACCTAGATATGCCAATTCTGAAAGATATTAAACAATGTTCATGTGAGCACATTTTTGTATGTCTGTTCATACACAAGCATGTATTCATACTTGTCATATATATGTGAGTATGTGTTTGTAGAAGTTGAAATCAGGTGCTGTCCTCAGTTGCTCTCTACTTTATTTATCAAGACATGATCTTTTCCTGAATCTGGAGCTCACTAATTCTAGCCAGCTTGACCTGGGGATCCCTTGAGTCTACTTCTCTATCATCATACCTGCACAAATGTAAGTGATCTGAGCTCCAACTCTCACATCATGCCTTATGAGCTGAGCCATCTTCCCAGCACTGAGCACACTTTTCACCAGATAAAAAGAGAAATCCAAACCCTGGGTCCACAGCCACTGCCTTTGTTGGGTTTTCAATGTTGCATACCTTCTACCTGCCATGCCCTGGTACAGGTTTCCCCTCCTCTTGAGACTATTTTTTCACTGCAAAAACTTTTGGTCTAAGTAAGTTCACAAAGCTTAAAATATTCATTAATATGCTACATTTTTTTTTTTTTTTTTGGTTTTTCGAGACAGGGTTTCTCTGTGTAGCTTTGCGCCTTTCCTGGAACTCGCTTTGGAGACCAGGCTGGCCTCGAACTCACAGAGATCCGCCTGGCTCTGCCTCCCGAGTGCTGGGATTAAAGGCGTGCGCCACCACCGCCCGGCTAATATGCTACATTTTAAAGCATGAAGGGAATAATGGTCTTTGTAAGGTGTATGACAACATGCCAAAGACTATGGATTTCCCTCCAGTATCAACAATCAGACAGGTTTTTCCTCTTCTGATGTTAGTATTCCTTGCTGGTGGGTTAGAGAAGGGTGTAGAGGGCAAGGTACTATGTGATTACCTTCTTGCTGAGACATGGGTAAAAAAGGACCTATGTTACACTAAGCATATTTCTAGGTACTAAGTACACATGAATGGACGTACAGGTTGCCACTGGCAGGGTGCTGATGCTGGCCTTCAAAAGATGTATCACCTAGAATATCAGGTGAGCGTCATTCAGGTGATGGTCATTGTGCATGTCATCAAGCTGAGTTAATGTAAGGATCTTGAGGTAGGATTGTTCTGGTGGGGGATGGAGAGGAATACACACAAGGATGGGTACCTTTATAAGAGAGGCAAAGAGACTACACAGAGATAAGGAAGGAATGGGAATGCAGGTAAGAGCCGAAATGGGAAGAGGTGCTATGGCTATGAGCCAAACTGCACTGTGTCCTGCAAGAAGCATGAGGAAGAACAGGAAGGAGGGCACTGGATCCTCCACACCAGTGCTGTGCTTGCATCTCTCCTGCACCGCCCTCTCCTTCCCTGCACCGGCACCTTGAATGTGCGTGGCAACATCCTAGAAGTCGTAATGGAAGTGAAAGAGGAGAAGGCCCGCGTTGGGCATTTTCTCTCGTTGCTTCTCCCATGTGATTAGCTCTGTTCTGCCACAGCCTCCTAGCCATGATGAATGGAAAAGCCTCATTCTAAAATACATCTCTACTTCTTTAAGTTGTTTTCTTGGGTATTTTGTCACAGAAGCAACAACAGCGACTATTAGAGTGTTGGGGTCAGAAAAGCTGTGGTTGTGCAAAAGGGACAGCTACGTGGCTCCAGTGTCATCAGTTCGTTACATCTGGAGAGCAATGGGGCTTGGAGTTTCCATAGGTGCATAGAAAAAACAGGCCATACGTAAACTACTGGGCTCCCTCCACCATGGAGGGCAGAAGTCATTCCCTTTTCTGGTGATGAGAGAGAGCTGTGTTGACCACGCTAGGGCAAAGATTTTTCTAGTAATCAGGAGGCTCTGTATGCTCACTAGTGAAAGAAAGCTAACATGTTACTTCATTTTTAGCCTGTTGTCATGGTGCACACCATTATTCCTAACACTCAGGAGGCAGAGGGAGGAGAATCTTTGCAATTTTGAGGTCAGCCAGAGCTATACAGTGAGACTCTGTCTCAAAAAAGGAAAAAGATTTCCTTTTGAGACAAGGGTTCACATAGTGCAGGCTGGCCTCCAACTCAATATGTAGCCAAGGATGACATTGAAAATGCATTTCTTGAAATGGTCTGAAGACCATCTGGGAACATGAATGCCTGTTTCTTTTAAAGAAAGAAGTGGGCTGGCTCAGCAGTTAAGAGCATTTGCTACTTTGGCGTATGACTGGAGTTCAGTTCCCAGCACCCATGTAGCAGTTCATAGCTATCCTTACCTACACGGGATAGGGAATCCAGTTCACACATAGACGTACAAGCAAACATGCATGTATATAATATAAAAAAGTAAATCTTTAAGAAAATAAAAAAATCATTTTTATATCCCAGATGGCCTCCAGAGCTTCCCAGAACAGCCTTGGATCTGACCATTTGGTAGCTGGGGATCTGACTTTGAATATCTAACTAAAGGCTTGAGCCCAGGAAAAGCTTCCCATAGTTCACCTTTTCTTTCTATCCCCCTCCTCTCCTTCCCTGTCTCTCTTTCCTGAAAATACTTTTTTAATACTGCAATCATGCCCACGGGTAGCCAAATTGGGGATGGGGGTTCGTCTGAACCCAAGTGAGTTGGCCTGTCACCAATGAGCTTGACCTCATCAATGAAGCCGTATAGCCTCCTTCCGTGGGAATATGGCCCAAGATGTGTTTTTGTTGAGCACAAAGACTTCACTATTGACATTCTGACTGTTCTTTCATATTTATTCATATAGAGTGTAAGTTAAAATTCAAGAAAATGTAAAGACATTTTCTCTCTTCCTTCATAGTTACTCTGTGCACAGGGATGGTAGAGAATGTTGTTAGATGCAGCAGTGGACATGGTTAGGGCTGCAAGGTTTCAGTCAGTAGGCCTTTATTTCCCTCTTAGCCTACATCCTTGTACCATGCACCAACTCACCATTTTCTTCCATGAAAACTGGAGATCAGTTAAGGTTGCAGCTGGAGCAGAAGCCTTCCTTACATTATATATCTATCTGTCCAGAAGCCTTCCTTACATTATATATCTATCTGTCTGTCTGTCTATCTATCATCTATCTATCTATCTATCTATCTATCTATCTATCTATCTATCTATTTATCTATCTATTCATCCATCCCTTTGCCTCTCTATTTCTGTCTCTGTCTTTTACTCTATCGGTCTACTGTGCTAGATATTTAATTCAGAGCCTTATGTGTGGCAGGTAAGTGTTCTCCCACTCATTCTTATGTGTAACCCTTCAAATTCCCTTTTTAAAACTCACAATGGCATTGATTATATTCCAGGAACAAGGGAAAGAAAAAATCTTCTTATCAAACAATAGCATTCATCCATGAAAGCCATCTTCCACATTGTACCAGGTCACAGGGACCCTCTGGTCTTCCAAGAGTTTCTTGTAGAGCAAAATGTCATCTTGGAGAATGTCCCAGTGGATGCTCACCAGCAATGCCCCTGGAAGCTGGGCAATGACCTCATTATCTGTTACAAGAGGTGAAACTCATGTATCTAGAAAGTGTTTGGCTTCTAGATAGGCAGACTTGTTAAAAGGTCCAGAAAACTCAGGTGGCTGAATTTTCTTCCTAAACCTTTGGGGAATATTATCAGAGGAGAGCCATTTCCTGTATTTTATCCAAGTGTCTTGGGGAATATGAACTCCTGTCAATATGGCATCTTTCCAGGAGATGTCAATGTTTAGATACCTAAGAAGGCAGATCATCATGAAGTCTCTGGTGAGGAATGGGACATTTTGGTTCTGCAGATGTGATGGTAACTGGAAATTTATTGTCTGAGGACTGGATAAATCAGGACTTGAGCCCAGATCTGAGGACGATCTGGTCTGCCCAATAAGGTCTGGATGATGATGGCCACAGCTGTACCTCCTATGCTTTCTCCAAAGACCACAACCTGGTAGGGGCCCACCCCGTAGGCTTTCAGGGGTTTCAGGAAATGAATTGAGGCATTCTGGCAATCCTGAAGACCAACAGGGTGATGATGGTCAGGAAGTTTTTGGTACCTAAAGAGGAAAGGGAATAAACAGCATACCAATATGTGGAAGGGTAGGTGGAGTCCATTTAAACATGGTCCTCTATGTACCTGAAACTGAACTTGATTAAATCCTGAAATGACTGAACAAGTTAAGAATAGTTATTCCTCTCCTTTCCCTTATGTGAATCTGAACAATTTGTCCAGTGTCAAAACAGCTGGGATTCTCTATTCAGACCCACCCAGTGATGCCCACAGGTGATCAAGGCCAGAGAGATTAAGGAACCTGTTTCTAAGCTTCACGGTCTGACCTGAATTGCTGGAAGCCACATGGTAGCAGGCTTGAACTGACTGTGGCAAGTTGTCCTCTGATTTCT